ATTGATTTTAATATATATTTTTCATAATTTCAACTTTCATCTCAGGTTACCAGCTTCTTAATAAAAATATGAGTAAATTATAAATTTACCACTCAATTTTATTTTCATTATTATTTTGGCCATTAAAGTTTAAAAAATTAATTTACTCATCGAACTTTCGATTGACCCCTATTTTTATCACTTGGGCGTTAAAAAAATAGAAGGGTGACATGGCAATCATGTGTGTTGATGTGGATTGATTTTTGTTGAAATGGTATCCATGTCATTTTTTTATCTTCTTCCCTCAAAGATAAAAGTTTTATAGTTTAGCTCTTGTGTCATGTCAACTTTGAAATTATCATTCTCTAGCATCTTCACCAACCAATCAAGATGATACAAAATGTAACATTCTCAACCCGATCTAAATGAAAACCATATCGAAGATGTTATTAAAAGATGAAAACCTGATTCACAAAGTCATATATTGAACATGTTTTGACATACAATCATCTTATATCTCATACACAGTGTTGTCAACAATCATTAATCGCTTATGGATATATCTTGACTATGGACCATTTGAAACTTTTCAAAATTTTAGGAATGAAAATGTAATTATATAAAAGTTTAGGACTTAAGAGGAAAAATTCTAAAATTAATACAATTATTCTATAGAATTTGTCTAACTTTATTCGGTGGACATTTTCCTCAATTGTGAACCATAAGCATACGATCAACCTTAAAGGATCATATCGTAGGATATTCATATAATTGGGACTAACTTGAATGATTTTCCAAATTGTGACTTTTGGTATCGATATCATGAATACCGACGTACTTGTCTTATAATCTCCTACCGCTCTACCTATTTAGATTCTGTCAAAATCACTTCAAAATTCACAAAACTCAACCTAAATCTCAAAATTTGTAAAACCCTAAACCATTATAAAATTCATTATCTACAACTATATCAACATGTAATCAAGATATGCAATTCGCTTTCTCCTTCTTTACCTCTCCATCATTGGGATTTGGAACAAAACGATTCAAAACGTTTCATCGTAAAAAAATCAAAGGGAATGAAACCAAGGGGTTTCACAATAAAATGAAGAAAATTATGGGGACGTTTCTTAAATTTTAAAAGAAAATATCCAATTATAACACCGTTAATTATTTAACGATGAAATTACCAAAACAAGAGCAAATAAAAACTTCAATGAGTAAATTGAAATTGTTTGAACACTAGAGACCAAAATAGGAGTATAATTTACTCTGTATATATATGTCAATTTGAGTTATGAAACATACAAAGTATAAAACAAAATGTGTATATATATATATCAATAAAATAAATTTTTATTATTTAAATTCGGAATCTTATTTAATATGAACTAAATAAAATTCACGTCACGTGCCAAATATTGAAACTATAACGCGTTTTTTTTTTTGACTCAATAAGGCATTACAATAAAACAAATCAGATATTTGTAGACACGACAATGGAGTTGTAAAGTCCAACTTGGAAGTGGTTTTGAATTGTTTTGGAGTAATAAAAAAACAATTATTTAGTATATTAATTGTCTGTTTTCTTAAAATATATAAAAACGATGTTTCAATAAAAAAAATGAGGTTAGAAAGTCATGAAGTTTCTTTAATCGTTATTTAAAAAAAATGAGACACATGATAATTTCTTAATCTCGTTTATATAATTAAAAAATTTCACTATTTATGTATTGATAATTGTTAATACAACAATAGTAAAATAAAAAAAAACTCAATAAGAGGATATTATAATAATCATAAAGATAATTATAAGAAGAAAATCGAAATCAAAAATAAAAACATCAAGATTTATATGAAAAATCTTGAAAAGAAAAAATCACGAACAAGAACAAGAAATTCATTATAATATCGGAATTACAAAGGATTACAACTACAAGACCTTACAGTAATTTTAAAGTTTCATCTTTTCTACATACAATAAATATAATATCTATTATCTATTTACAGTGTTAATTATTTGATGAGAAATAAATCTATTAGTATAAGGAGTTATTTTTAATATGAATTTTCAACTGCAGTCAAAAGTTAATATAAATAATAAAATTTCGAGAGCTTTTATATTCATCACATATCTTCATTGTTTCTCATAATTTATTTATTTCAATAAATATATCATATATCGGACTTTTTAAATCCGATAAAAATAAAATGTGAATTATAACTCTAACAAGGAATTTATAATGATTAATAATGTGAATAATGTGGGTGATGTCCATTCTTCCTTGATTTCTTCATATGGATAAGATTGTTAGATCATACCCCAACAGTTTTTTATATTTTATTATTGTATGTCTTATTGGGTGATAATTAACCTGTCGTACCTGCTTTGACTTAAGCTTCTGCTTACTATTTGGTCTATTTTGTTCATACCATAAGTTGGTGGGCTTTTGGAACTATGGGAATCAATTGCTTTTGTACAAGCTTGGTCTTTGCAAATCATGGCGGTGCGTTTTGTTTCCTTTTGGATCTTCGATGACGAGGCGTTTACAAGGGTGCCACCGTTCACGAATATCTGCCAACTTGTGCTAATCTTTTATTCCTTCGATATCACATTTTAATATCTTAAATTTACAATTTATTCCTTATATTTAAAATTTTAATATTAAAATTTGATTTATACTTGCGAACAATTTAAAATATGAACAAGAGTCACTTTCAAATATTAACGTATAAAAATTCATTAACGATCCTAATATTAAAAAGAAATATGTTTTTTTTTAAATTTTAAATTCGTGTATTACGTAATATGTGTATAAATTAACTATGTTTGTATAATATATATACGCTATCAATAAAATTTAAAAAGTAGATAAATTAAAAAAAAAAGAATATGCTAAAGTGGAATGGAGCCAACGCTTTGACCAAATTTTTCCGTTTCATATTATCAAAGTAATTGGTGGGGGACTTTCTCAAAATCTAATGATTCCACTCTCTTGGGGTATAGCTCGCTTTCATGTTCTTGCCTACATTGCTTTTATTTTTATTTTTATTTTTAAAAAGCAACGGGCACATTTCACACTAAACTATTTCGGTTGACTAAAGAAGTTAATTTCAATGGATGCACAAGTTATATAGTATGATTAATGCATGGAATTTTACAAGTGCTTCATGTGGACTTATTATATAAGTGTAAGTACTATACACCAGTTACATTTAAATTTATTCTGATTTAAGTTTTATCATTTGTAAATAATATAGTGAATGGATTTGTAAATCAACGTCATAAAGATTCAAATTTTCGAATCAACATATGAAAGTGACTCGATATGTATGCGACCTTTCTACTATATCTAAATCATGGTTTACACTACAGCAAAACTGTTCTTTAGCGGCGTTTTTTTAGTCATATAGCGGTGTTTTTAAGCGCCGCTAAAAGTACTTGTGGCGATAGGAAAAACGCCGCAAGAAGCGCTGGCAATACCAGCGCCGCTAAAGGTAGCGGCGTTTGAGAACCAAAAACGCCGCAAAAGGTTGAGATCTATAGCGGCATTTTTGGAACAAACGCCGCAAAAGGTTGATATCTATATAGGCGTTTTTGGAACTAACGTCGCAAAAGGTTGATATCTATAGCGGCGTTTTTGGAACAAACGCAGCAATAGGTCACATATAGCGGCGTTTTTTGGAACAAACGCCGCAATAGGTCAGATAGATAGCGGCGTTTTTGGAACAAACGCCGCAATAGGTTAGATAGATAGCGGCATTTTTTGGAACAAACGCCGCAAAAGGTCAGATCTATAGCGGCGTTTTTTATACAAACACCGCAAAAGGTTGGTATCTATAGCGGCGTTTTTGGAACAAACGCCGCAATAGGTTAGATATATAGCGGCGTTTTTTTAGAAAAAACGTCACAAAAGGTCAGATATATAGCGACGTTTTATATACAAACTCCGCTAATTTCCGTTTTTAGCTTAGATTAATTGATTTTGCATATTTCATTTATGCAATACATCACCTAAATTTAATATCATGTAGTTTTATCTAATTAACAACAACCATAAATTTTAATTAAGACACACATTATGCAGAAAAATATTTAACAAAATAAATTAAAATTTATAAACATTAGAATTAAATGTAATGTAGTTTGACATTATTCTCTAGAATTTAGTCTAGGTTCTTTCACTTTCAATTAAAAAAAATATTATTCACCCATGTAGGCCTACATTCAACGATAACCCGGCACCACTTACTGCATTTTCCTGCTCAACATTCAGAACCGAGGTGTTACGATGCTCCACATTCAACGCCGTAGTTGACTCACAAATAGCTCCTGGTTTGAATTTTGGTTTTGGCTTTGCATGGACTCCGGTATAAATCATGTGTTAAGAACAGAAGATTGTTAGATCTGCATAGTTGTGCATCACTCATACCATCTTTGGTCCTTAAATCAGCATATTAATCGAACACCTAAAACTTTCTTAGCTGACTAGGAAAATAATAACATGCAACTAGCAATTGAACATATAAATGGCAGAAACTTACCATGGTGAGGGTAGAACAATAATCCTAGAAGAAAAGCCTCAGAACCACAGTAAGACGATTCCCAAAAGTAGCTTTGAAAGAGTGGTATGCATTGTTCTGTTAATTGAAAATGTAATTTGATTTGAAGGTATGGAAAGATAATAAGTGAGTTGATATAAAAAAAATCAATTGGCTAGACTCTTCTTGTATTCTTTATCATATCTGAGATAACCAAAGAGAACAAAATAATCATAAATCTATATAAAACAATGATATTAAGAACCCTTCAAAACCACAGTTTTAGAGATCTAAAATTTTTGAAGTTCAAATGGACACAACATTTTAGATCTGAGTCTTAATAACATAAGAGTAAACTACAACCAAGAAACTGGAATATACACTAAAATGCTGCTGTCTCACATGTTTCTTCTCTTCTTCTTTCGTTTTCTATGCTACCCATACCGTAAATCAAAACATGAAAGGAAAAAAGGGGCCTTTTAATACCTGTAAGCAAACGTAATAAGCAAACCAGGAAAGAGAATGTCCCCAAATCCAATCATATTATAGCCACCCCAAGGATCAACGATTCTAGGAATTCTCAAGAGCAAGGGTATTGCTTCTCCACCAGAATTCTTTCCTTTAGCGACCTATTAACATGAGGAAAATGTCAGAGATCAAAGCTCATCCTTGGACAGTCAACTTATATTCCAAGTCCTTATTTTTGGTTAGCTGAATGATCAGTGCACTTGGCATTTGATCTAGGAACTTGCCATGTGCCAAGACCGATTTCATTGAAATGAATTGTGGGCAAAGAGCACATGATCTTACATTAATCAACATAGAAAGATGACTAAATGGATGAGCACTTACTGCAATCATCACACTCTGGTGGAATATAAGTGGTGATATGAAGACCCAAAAGATGTCATAAACAAATGCACAGCACAGAAGCGCTGTAGCAACCTTAACCATGAAGAGCAATCAAGGCAAGGATTGAAACACAATTAATGAATACACGAAGAAAGAAACCACAGTACCTTGATATTAGGTAGTCGAGCCAACTGTAAGACATTTATCATCATACAAATACCCTTTATAAAAATAAATTAAAGGTAGTCAATAGACGAAAAGCAAAAGATATTAAACAAAAGTTTGAACCGATTTCTATGCAAAAACACAATAAATCAATTTAACACTAACCTCAAGTTGCTTTAAATAACAAAGAAACAAATAGGTGAAACAACCATAATTGTAATAAGAAGGAATTCTAACAGATATCACCAAGAATTCAAATAAAAGATCAACTAAATAACATCAATCTGTTGTCAATTTGATATAAACCTCTTTCTTGGCCAACAATTGGCTTTCATAAACTCGAACACATTAACAAGCCAAAATATTACCATTGAATAGGGTGCAACAATATTTGCAAAAAATCAATTCCTAAAAGATTCCCATAATCATTCAGGGGTATATATGGTGGTATGGAAGACTTACGAGAATATTTTGGCCCACCCATGAATAAGATGCTCGTCGATAAACAGCCCAGAGAACAGCGAATACCACACAGAGCAGAAAAACCCCAAGTGAAACAATAGTAACCTCCCCAATGACAGGCAATCTCACTGTCTTCTGTGGACTGCATTTACTGCTTGTACACTTATATTAGGAACAACAATAAAAAGAAGCTAGATCTTGTAAAACAACTATTTGACAGGTTTGGTTGTGATAATCAAAGTTACAATCATACCTTTTTAGAGGAGTCATAATGACAGTGTGAATTTTTAGTATTTCTTTTCAATCAAAAATTTAAATAAAGCTTACCCATATCTTGATTCCTTCCACCATTAACAATAGAACGAAGAATTAATGGAGAATGAAGCTTACCCATATGTACTGTGTAGAATCGAAGAACAAGGGTTGAGCTTGAAATTAGCGGTGCTCCAAAGCCAAGAGAAAGAGAGAGAGAGAATGGGAAACTTAGAAAGATAATATGGGATATTACCAAAGGGAGATGCCAAATGTGAAGGGAGAAGAACACTCCAGGAATGGAGTTAAAAGCTACGACTTGGAGGCGAAGAAGGCTGGGCGAAGTGAAGGAGATGCATGTTGTAGTTTTGTGGGTAAGTTGTAAACGGCAAGTTGTAAACGGCAGAAAGTAGACAAAAAAGAAGATGAAAAATGGCTAGGGCTAGAGGAGATTTAAAACTGACTTTGCGGCGTTTAACAATACAAACGCCACTGTTGTGTAACTAATTGCGGCGTTTTTAATTAAAAACGCCACTAATGTTAAAAACATTTGTGACGTTTACTGAAAAACGCCACTATATATAATTTTATTGCGGCGTTTTTGTAAAAACGCCACTAAAGTACGATTCATTTGCGGCGTTTGTTACCAAAACACCGCTAAAGTTATAATTTTTTGCGGCGTTTATTAAAAAACGCCGCTATAGGTGAACCATATTGTGGCATTTGTATAAAAACGCCGCTAAAGTACTAATATGTTGCGGCTTTTATTAAAAAATGCCACAATAGATAGACCTATTACGGCGTTTATTAAAAAAATGCCACTATAGATAAACCCTAAAGCGACGTTTGTGAAAAAACGCCGCTAAAGTTACCATTTTGTGGCGTTTGGAATGTAAACGCCGCTATATGTTTAAAGTTAGTGGCGTTTACTCTCAAAACGCCACTAAAAACGCCGCTAAAGAACAATTTTGTTGTAATGTTAATCAAGTTATGAGGAGTTTTTAACGAGGTCTTATGTTATCTTAAAAAAATTGTATATTGTAATGATTAATTTTTAATTATCTGAATATATTAATTGTAATTTTAATTTTATTTGTACATTATACTAATTTGTTTTATACAAAACATATTTTAGTATTAATTTTAACTTTGGGAAAACAACAATTTTGTACTAGAATAAGTTGTTAATTAGTGAAGTCATTTTAATTATATTTTAAAAAGTAATCAATAAATAAAAACCCTACCCTTTTCCCCTTTATTGATATTGGCAAGATTACCTAACTTCAACTTTTTTTTAATGTTGTGTTTAAGTAATAAAGAATAACTATTAGCATTAGGTGAAATAGAGATATTATGGACCAATTTAGAATTTAAAATATTGTTTTAAGAAAGATTTATATAATAAATTAGTTTATGATGAACTAGACGACAATCAAGTAAGTTTTTGAATAAAATATTATCTCAATTGGGTCTTTTGATTTTAAAACTTTTAAATGTAAAATATAATTGAGATGTCTTTCCAATTTTTAAAAACTTATTTTATTACGAATTTTTAAATAAGAATTTAATTGAGATAAAATTTCATCCAACGACTTACTTGATTGTCGTCTAATTTGATAAAACCAATTTATCAAATAAACTTTTTAATACTTAAATTTTAATAAAATTAATTTTATGTATTAAATAGTTTGATGTAAAGTAAAGAAGAATTAATCACTTTCATTGCTTTTGCTAAATATCAATAAAATGAAAGTGATGTTATCCCCTAGCATAATCCTTATCGATATTCTATTTTTCTCTTATTAGCATTGGGCCCCTCTGCTTTAACATTCAACACTAGAGATGAAGATATATATTATTTAATAAAAATAATAAAATTTGAGAAAGCTTTTTATGACCAACCAATCATTATATCTTTGGTTCGAATTTAGTTACAAAGAGATATTTTAAGAAAAACAAAGCATGGATATGATTGATGTAATTTTTAGTTTAATTGTAATAGAACTAAGTCACTATCTTAAAAAGAAATATTAATTTTAGTTTAATTAATATTAGAAGATGTAAGATTATTTTAATAATCAAACTCAATATATTTTAATGAGTGGGTTCAAGCAATTCAATTTTTTTCCTCAGCTCAAATGTTTTAGAACTTTAGGTTTTAAGTAGGGGCTAATAGTGTTTCCCCCCCTCTTAAATGGTTAAAATTTCAATTTTAAACCTTCAAAATTTAAAGAGATAAAATTGAAGTTGTGATAAAATCACATTTTAATCTTAAAAATAATAAAATTTCAATTCAACTTTCTTAAAAACTAATATATAATTTTAATTAAAATAATATTTTTTGACATTTCAAAAATTTATATTTTAATTATAGCCTTAGTTTTTTTTCTGGTTTATGAAAAAGAAACGCAATTATGTTGAAATTATACACCTCAAAAGCTGCATCTTTCTATTTCTTTCTTCCTCTCCCTTCACACAAATTGTCGGCAGAGCACTGAACTCCAGAACTTTGCCTTTTATATTTATGTAATGCAAAAATAAAAATAAAAATAAAAATGATCGGAATGTATTTATTTTAATGATACGTGTTTTATTTGACGTATATAATTTAGAGATTTAAGATTTAAATTTTAAAATTTAGAGTTCATATTTAGAATTTAGAATTTAATGTTTAAGATTTGTAATTTATAATTTAAGTTAATTTTTAATATATATATATATATATATATATATATATATATGTTTTAGAAAATAATGAAATATTCCGTAATTGGATTATGATGAAATTGGAAATGAAATTTGTGATTAATTATTTTGATGATTAGAACCATTGATTTGATTACTTACTAAGAAAATAAGAGTGAGAGTGATGCCAAAAATTTTGATGTTTGCTGTCGCTTCTTTATCGTATATGGAAGCTATCAACACTTTGGAATTATTGCTCATTGCATTGACATTTTCTTGCATGTTTGGTGAAATGTTGTCTCCACTTTTCTCATAATTTCATCAATTAATTTATAAATTCCATTCAATTTAATAAAATATATAAATAATTTAAAAATCAAAAAATATATTTTTTAAAAATTCTGGGAGTAAATAAATATTATTAAATTATAACTTTTTATGCTGTGTTCATATCAAATAATCTTAGTGTTTAATATTACAACATTAAATGATAATCTATAATTTCATTTTTAACTTTTCAACTTATTTAGTTATTTAGTCCTTTTCTATAAGTTTTATAACGGGTCTTTAGTGCGTGTAAGGTCATAATGGTTATATGTAGGCTAGTAAGCTAAGTGAATACAGTCATGTGACAGTGGATTTGGTTCTAATAAGTTACGTAGGTCTGTCAAAAGTTATATCAACTAGTTGTAATTTAGATATTTGAGATACTTTTTTTTGAGACATTTTTTATAAATCTTTTGGAATCTTGAAATATCGGAGGTTCAGAAGTATTATAGGCCCACCGATAATTACGAGACGTAATCATAATATGTATGCAGAATCTTTAACAGGGTACATCAATCTTAAAATTATGTATAAGCATGATCAAATGTGTATAATTTGGTGCAAGTAGTAAGAGTCTTGTGTAGCGTATGTAAAATTTTATTAAATATATTTTTCAGAATATATTTAATTAAAATATGATATGCATATTCATATAGTTTAATCTAATCTTATTGTAGGTTTAATTGTCATTTCCATTGATATTTCTTTCTCCTTTCGATTCTCAAAATTTGGACAATAATTCCTACTTAGAGTGGATCACTGTCGAGCCTACTGATATATTTTAGTTTTGGAACATACAGAAAATCTAAAACCAGAGGTTTTACAATTGCTTGGAACGAATCAAGTGAGCGTATAATTTTTATATTAATTAACCCAAAAAATCAATAATAAGGATAAATTTTGTTTTAGCCTCCAAATGACTATGAGATGATTATAAAGTAATATCTGTTAATTTTTTTAGTTCATTGTTAATACACATATTCTATAGACGTAACTATTCGAATTTAGATTATCTGAAAAATATTATTTATTTTTATCACTGATATTACGTAATAAGTATGTGATAATGATATTAGAAATGATAAAATTCAATTATAAAAATAAAAGGAGACAAGAAGAATATGTTTCGAAAATAATATGGATAAAATAGTTTCCATACGGTCCGACTTCATTGTCATACCTTAGAGATAAACAGGTTAGGTTTTGGTTTCTTCTAGGAAGTAAAGGTAATCCATAAGATCTGCAACTTCAAATTTATTTTGATGCTTAGAGATGAAGATGGAGACCTAAAACAAGTGGGTGGAAAGTGGGAAGTAGACAGCAAAGGGGGGTGTTGTCTGAATGGGACCAAATTTGTTGTGGATTGATGTGTGTTCGGCCATGTGCTCAGACATGTGGGTTGTTTGATTTTTTTTGAGTAGTTAACAACCTGGGAATTTGGATAGGTTCCATAAGCTATGGACCAGACTACACCTCGTTTTTTTAGCTTTATTTTCATCAAATAATTTATTCCTTCAACCTCCACAAAAAAAAAAGTATTTTGGACTATTTTTGTGTTTCATTTGATCTTCTTAGTTCAACTCAATGTATCATTTACTACTATTGTCACTATGCTTTGTACTTTACAAGAAGGAATGTTATTTTGTCCCCACGGTGGAATGATATTTACAACGATGTTATTCGAATTCTTTATTTTTCTTTTAAAATATCTATGTTTAATATGTATTCGGATATGAGTTTGCATTTATATTTTAATAAGGGTTAAATTAGTTTTTATTTAGAGGGCGTTTGGATCAAAGAAAAAGTTATTATTATGAAAAGTAATCTTTTCCGGAATCACATACTAATGTTTGGTTTATTAACATTTATTTCAGGGGTAATAAAACATTACTTATAGTAGTTGTTTTGGCTTGGATTCTCGGGGATCTCATTTCCTCTAATATCTTAGATATTTGTCAATTCATGTCCGATTGGACAAATTTACCCTAAACAAATGAACTATTTCA